TCCCCCATTGTGGGGAGATGGGCGGGGACAAATTAATTAAATAAATAAATAAATACTAAATGAGCCTGACCCTTTCTTCCACAGTTGGAACTACAAAATAGAAGGAATAATTTGTGTCTCCTCCCAAGTCTTAAATGTTGGTGGTAGCCAACTATTTATTTTAGGCCTGTCGCTCACTGGTTGTAACTCGAAAGCTAAAACAAATGTCTGCTATCTCTTTCTCACAAGAGAAGGATGGCAGTGGCTTGGTGCAAAAAGATAGACCTGGCATTAACATTTGTCTAACTGCCTACTGGAGATGGTGGGAGCTCTAGCTATTGTTACAGGCTTTCATCCTTACCTATTCTGAGTGGGAGAAGAACGTTATATGGGGGGAGGGTACTTGTCTCTTTCTAGAAAGGCATGCAGTTGGCCTTGTTGTAAAACAGTGTTTAGTCCAGTCCAGTCTAACATAGTCCACTGAATGCTTATTTTAGCAAGCCTTATTCCAAAGCAAGTGTAATACAATTTTAATCTACAGTTGGAACAGGTTTGTTGATGTTGTTGTTATTGTTATCTCACTTTATAGACTTCCTTTTTGCCCACTGAATACCTGATTGGATGCTGTAGAATTAGATGCAAAAATAATTTTTGTGAATCAGAAGAGAGCAAGCAAGAGGAAGGAACATTTAATTGTGATTTGCTTATCATTTAACTGTGATCAAGTAATTGGAATATTATGTCTGTATCACCCGGCGACCTAAATGTAAATTGGTCAGCTGATACATCACTCCTTTATATCAATAAACCAGTTAAAAATTTCTGACATTCTGACAATTCAAAAATGTCAAATGTACTTCTATTCTAATATACACATGTTGGATAAATAAAACAGGATTTATTCAGGGTAATATTAGATGGCCTACTTTGACAGAATAGAAAACTCTAAAAACAAATGCTAGTGTAATATTTTATCAATTGAAATAATTGAATAGACTTGTTAAATAAGGCAAGCCATTTTCAAAACAATTAGAGATTAATTTTTACTATAATACTAACAAAGTTATTGATGGCTATGCCCTCACCCCCAATTTACAGGCATTTTCTTCTTGTTGATGGTGGAGGAATCTATTTATATTCCTATGAAGGACGTTTAATTTCCTCTCCAAAGTTTCCAGGAATGAGACCTGATATACTGAATGGCCAAACCGTATCTTTAAGTAATGATACTTTAGCTGTAAGAGACAAATCTGATGAAAAAGGTATGTTTATATGTACTTGAAAAAAGTGGGCATATTTTTATTAAAATATGTGAAACAAATCTGCTTCCTATATAAAGTTTAAACATGGCTTAGAAAAGGTGACTCATCCCAGATCTGAGGATGGTAACACTAACTCCTACTTGGAAACATGTTTATCCATGTTAATTTAATGCTCATATGTATCTCTTGTATTTTTAAACAAATGACCACATATGATTTCTAAAAGGTAATTTAGATTGAAGAGGAATTCTGTTTCTTTTAAAAAGCAAACTATGAAATATTTGTGGAACTAAATTAATTGTATATGTTTGTGATGATGTAGAGTCTTTGTTCTTCTTTGTTCTTTCTTTGTAATGCTTTTGCCTTTTTTATCTGTTTTAATAAGCACCAAATACAAAACAATAGCTATGAGCTTTTACTCTTTTTTTCCTCTTTGAGAAGCAATGGAGTTTGTAATGTATGTAGTTTTCCTAATTTTATTTTTTAAAGTCATTATCACAAGTATTTGAATAAAAGCTTTGGTAAAAGCATGAGCAATGAATATGAGAAGGGAAAACTTGCATCAAAAAAAGATCACAACTTTCTGAAGTTAGAAGTTACTTTCCTGTGTTTACACAGCTGTCTCAAACTAGCACTGGACGCAACCCTTTCTTTTCATATGTAACCAATAACATCAGAACAACACCTGTTCTCATAACAGCATTTTTCCTGCCAATATAACCAATGACCGCAAACCAATATCCTGTATCCTTCTAAAGAAACTCATGATACTGTGTTGATATACAAATGGAAGAATCTTTGAAAGTTAAACATGTTTTCTGCATGGAATATAAATGAGATTATCAGTTAGATTTGGCATGTAATATCAAATTGCTTAAATTGTGTTTAGAATTAACAATCCCTGTATATACCTTTGCATTCTGGGATTTATACATTACACTATTACTATCTTTCTTACCCCCAACATCACATGCAGAAATATTGAATAATTATTTATTTAATTTTAATCATAAATAATGTAGATAAAAATCAACATGATAAAAATCTGTATTTTTGTTGGCTTTAATGAGAATCACGCAGCAAAAAGTATATCCCCAAATGTTTTCACTTTTTTGCATCTTCAACAACAGTCTTCATTTACCAAGAGCAAATTGAAGTTTGAAAGAGATTCAAACTAAGTTTGTGATGACAAAGTCTGCCTTCCAAGAAAGTATTTAAGAAAAAAATACGTTAAAATTATGTCAAAATCTATTATAAAGAAAAGTGCATTGACATTTATTACTTTTATTTATAGCTATTTATTTATTACAAATGCTTCACTTTATCCCACTTTTCAGTAAAAAAGTATAAGTTTTTTTTTTAAAAAAACCCACTCATAGGCTTACACTGTAAAGACATGATACAAAGGAAAAAGTGATAGGAAGGAAAAAGGAAAAAAATTAAGTTCACAGGCCACTCACCCGCTAAGTTACCAGACCTGGGATGCAAAATTCTATATAACCATCAGAGGGCAGCAAACAGATTTTTAAAACCTCCAACACTTTCCTGCCATCTATTGGTCATCTGGATTTTTTTAACCCAGATGTAATAATTCTAATGTTAGTTCTAAAATAATATTCTTAGGCTGTAGTCCCATGCATTCTGACACATAATCTCCACTGAACTTAGTGGAGCATACATCTGAATAGACATGCATGGAATTGCTTGACTGTTGAAACATAGTGAACATAATTTTATTTATATCATTCAACAATATGGAAAGAGACAATTTTGAGGGGTTTTACTTTAAACTTCAAGTAAATTAATTTGAACCAAATCAAAAGTTCAGTACAGATTACAAACAATAATAAACATTTAAAATAAAAACAACATTGACATTTGAAATCATCAGGTCAGAACAAAAGTATATGTTCTGTTTTCCCTGATTTTTATCTTTCAGCCAAATGGCAAGGATGTAAATTTTAGGTTTTCCATCTGTAACGATTTTTTCTTAAATGTTGTATAAACATTTGGGGCAGTTTAATATCAATAGTGTGGGCGGGCCATTCGTCATTTTTGTTGTTGTTGTTGGAAGAAGGTCCTTGGGTGGATTTTTAAGAGAGATTATTGATATCTTATCAATATCACTCATTAAGACCTTCAAAACAGGAAATAAATTGCCCCTTAACCATGCAATTTTTTTAAAAAGTCTACTTTCTCTGTTATACCTAATCTAATGGGACTCTAGGGTCACAAAAGAAATACTGGGAGTTGCATGCAGACTGCCCACCCTATCAAAGTACTATTGAAGTAAGTGCCACTTAAAATTCTAGGCTTGTAGGTATGAAAATCCTCATTCAAATCCCTACTATGCTGTAGGTCTTTATCATATTTAATTTTTCATGACTTCCCCTATTCCTTTTGACTAAAGCTAGTTATCTAGTAATTCAAGTTATAAATTAGTCAGGCAAGGTTATAACTGTAAAATACAGCCCAAATTCAAAAGGAATTTGAGTTCTCACCAGTTGCTAAGCTTCAAGGGGCATGTAGATCTCAACATCAGGGTCAAGCAAAGATGAGATTTCCAAGAACAATCCATGGCTAGGAGCTTTCCACAGGCTATACAAGATTGGGTGTAATGGAGCATTCTTCTAGTGCTATATTTCATCAGCAACTCCTTAAATACATGAAACTTCCAGCTTTCATCTGAACACGGCTGGCACTAATCAGCCCTGATTCCTAGCATCAGGCTGTTCCTGCCTGTGCTCATTGAATCTCAGTATAGTTGTACTATAACTCTGGCTCTTTGACTATCTGCTTGAAGGAGATGATGGTCTTGTAGTTAGAATCTATGAGGCCAGACTCAGGGACTGAGAGACTTGATACCCCATCTCAACTGTTACTTGGACCTAGGCCTTCCTGAGTGCCCCAGCATTATTCTCTTCCTTGTCCGAGGATTACATCTCAGCCAGGAGAATGATAATTATGGGAATAATAAATTGAATAAAAGTTATAAAGCATTTTATGCCTTGAAAAGAAAAATAGAAATTATTGGCAATAATTTCTCAAAAGAATTGAATATGACTTAAAACTTGCACCGGCTACAAAGTGAAAGTTATCAATGTCCTTGTTTGAACTGTTAAACACATTTGGTAAATTAACCTAACAGGGTCTCCATTTGATACTTGGTGTATAATTGTTACAGTAAGATATTTTTGAAAACATGGTAGCCATACATTAATCAGTAACCTGTTTTTTATTTCTCTCTTTTTAAAAAAACAGTTATTTATCTGTTTGAACCTTTATCTGGCAAACCATTAGGAGATGGAAAGCCCCTTAGTCACAAGGTATATAATATTTAATATTTCTGTAGTTTAGATTGGAAAAAAGTATAAAACTCTGTGAACATCTTATACCAAGATGTTCCTGGAGCTGAGTAATTTTTTACCCAGATTCTATCTTCTATTAGCACAGCATATATTCAGTTTGAAATCTGATCAGTCTGAGCAGATTAATGTAGAATGTGTTATATGGTTACTGAGAAGTCAGTTATGTTCAGTGAGGCTTACTCTGAGGCTGAGTGTGCAGCAAGATTTTTTTTTTTTAATTACCAGTAAATTACCAGCAAAATAACTGAAAGCTGATATTGCTCAAGCCAATAATACATTAAGAATTTGTGTCCTTTGTCTAGGCAGTTTTTCAGTTTTTGTTCTTATAAAGTAACATTAAAATGCAAAGTAATTTTTATTTGAACAAAATGTTGTTAGTCACGTGCCACAACTGTTCAACTGGAACATATTATGTCATTTTTATCTTTTTTTATGATAATAACAAAGAATTTTCTTTTTTTGAAACAAGGAAAGCCATTTAATCATGCATGAAGTTCCCTCAATCAGTCTGAAATAGCATTTAAATAGTAGCTCTGACTTAAGGATGAGCACACAGTAGTCTTAACTTTGTGGATTAATAATTCCTCATCTAATTATTTTCTAAAATTGCTTCCTTCCATTCCCATCTTGAATGAGTCTGAGCTACTAAGTTCCATTGGAAGAGAGATTGAGAAACAGAATGTAGACGTATTATATGGGAAATCAGTACTTCCCAATTTCTATCTCCTTCTACAAATATCCCCCTCTGCCATTTACATTATCTGTCCCATCATATTATAGGAACACATGTTTCCTAAATTATCTGTAATACCAATAAGTATAATATAACTATATTTTAATTGATCATATTGTACTATATTGTTGACATTGGCAATATTAATATTTAGATTTAAAAGATTTGCTTAAACTGTTGCTTAAATATTGTGTAATATTACAAATTTAAATATAAAAACTGTTTATTAAAACATGGTTCTACTATTTGGTCAAAGAACAGTGGCTTAAGAACTGGTATTTTTTTTTACTGAATGTGGTCTGCATATTAGATTTTGAGCTGCAACACTTTGTGATAGCAGGACTATGGTGTTGCGATACTCAGTTTGAAAACAGTATTATCTGTCAGTCTGGTCTACTTCAGAGTGTTTTTATAATGATAGAAACAGCATAAAATTGTAATTATTCTTTAATATAAAAAGTAATTTAATTGATTTACTATTAAAGTACATTAATGGCTTATCCAACCTATATTCTTATTGTAAAAACCTTGTTTTGATACTAATGTGAGTTTTGATACAAATATTGTTACAGATAGAAATTGTGGAAATTGCGTTAGATCAGAAGGGTCTTACAAATGAAAGGAAAATTGCTTTTATTGACAAAAACAGAGATCTTTATATAACTTCCGTGAAGAGATTTGGAAAAGAACAGAAAATTATTAAAATAGGTAAGAACTAGCTTAACCCCAACCCCCATTTTCAGATTTGACAAAATGTTCTAGAATTGTGTGTTTTATTGACTGTATGTAGTGTGTAGTATATCATTTGTTCCAAACTACATTGAATTAGTATGTGTGCAGTGAGGCGGGAATGGTATAGAGAGTGTAATACAAAAATACCTAAAGATGTTTTATTTCCTATTTAAAATTCGTTTGCAGCAAGTTAATTTCTGAACTACTTCAATAAATTAGAAACCCCAAAGTCAACCCTGTAGTGTGAGTGAAATCAATGAATGCATCATCCTATGTACAGCAAAGTTTTATCATTCTACAGGAGAATGATGATGGAAATGTGGTTGTTGTTTTAATTTAAGAGATGGCTCTCCATTTAAAAAAACACAGCTTGTTTTAAGAGGAGAAGCAATTTAAATTAAATATCATAGATGTTTCTGTAAAAATGCAATAGATAATAAAACATTATAAAGCAGTGATTTTCCACTGTGGTCCATGGAGGTTCACCACATGGTCAGTTACTCTCTACATTTACTACCGGTCAGCTGGCCAGATCAACACCTGCTCGCTACCTCAGACCCATCCTCCCTGTGTTCACTGCCAATTACCTGGTTCATAAAAATGGATTAGTAGTTGAAAGCTCATTCTTTATAGCATATGAATGATGATGCAAGTAGCAGCGTAAGTACTAAAATACAGAAAATAGATCTTGAGTGCAGTTATCAAATGTGAGTCCATACAGGTAGTACTGATCTCTCACGCAAGCAACCCAAACCAAAAGTGGGAATAGGCCATATGAAAATGAATATCTAAAAATGGAATTTAATTGGTTTGGAAATTCACTTCTCCTAGCTCTGTACTAAGACATTTCTATTGAAAAATAAATTGAATAGATTGTGCTATGAGCATGGGATACACAAAATAATTCAAGTGGTAAATAAATAGATAATTCTGGCTATTTTTTTTGGTTAAAATCATTTTAAAAGGCCTTTAAAAATTAAAGAGCTAGGAAGGCATACACAAATACAACTATAATTTTGTTCACTGAAAAGTGCGAAATTCCATACTCTTCAAGATGGCAACGTAGGAAAATGTGTTTGTTTAAATGGGTAGCCTCTACATTTTCCAAATGTTTATTTAGTGATTCATGATTGCAGAAGGATTAAGCAACATTGCTCTACAATCTACTCACTCAAAGTTTCCCTTGACATAGGTCACAATTATATTATAAACAAATTTGTTTGACCTGCAGGCTAAAAATGCTCTTTTTGACCTGCAAGATTTTTCAAAAAACGCTTTTTTTCCTCAGACATGAAAAAGGAAACAGATCATACTGATTTGCAGATGATCTGAGATAAGAGCTTTTCCCCAACTCCACAAGGCTCCATATTTTCAGTTCATGTAAATTGTTTTGCGCTGTGCAGGATACCATTTTCAGAGGGGTGGATGCTGCTGGGATAACAGCTTATCTGTATGCTGCTCATTCCCAAAGGTATGGAAGACCTTATGATTTTTCTCTAGAAAAATCTCCAACATTATGAACCTACATTAAGCCCTCCACTCCTGGCTCAGCTCCTATAACTTATATTGAGCCAAACAAGGAGTATCAGGAAGAAACTGCTAGTAGGAAGATAATTAATAAATAGGTCTACTTTGTGAGTTTAACATTTTAGAAGGATCTTAGCCATGATGAAAAACACTGTTAGTTAATACAATCTTAAATGTTGTGTAGAACCCCAAGTTAATTGTCGGTAGTAACTGAAGAAATCCAGCACTTCAGCAAACTCTAGTTTGAAAGCAATCATTGATTAGAGTTGAATTATACCTGTTTAAGAGTACTTTATTCAAAATCTTAGCAGTAGCAAGTTTTCTGATGTTAGAAGTTTATGAATATATAATGTGAATCTGGTTAATCTAGCTCAGAAGAAAAATGGCTTATGAGAATAAACAAAATAATAATTAAAAAAGAAAATGTGTCCAGTTTAACATCATTTACATAACAATTATATATGTAGTTGTAAATACTTGTTCTTCTGTGGAGATGCAGTGTAAGATACTAGTTTAAAGAAGTAGGATAAGCAGATCTTGCAGGTTTCTCCAAGTACTATCTTTTCCAAAATTCATATAGTAACTCAAAAAAATGTTAAAAGAAACAAATGGAACACCAAGCAGACATTTACAGGGAAAAGACAAGTACATGTATATATATAATCAAGGAAAGTTTTAATAGCCTCTAGGCAGTTCTGAAACTGTATGTATAAAGCCAGAAATTATTATTTTATTTATTTATTTATTTAATAGACTTGTCCCCACCCATTATCATCTAATGGTTAGAGGGGCCAGGTAAGGAGACTCTATGGCACAATGTACCGTACCCAAAAGTATGTTGGAATTTCTGAAGCATAAAACTCCAGTAGATGGGCTAAGTGGTACAGCTGAATAGGTGAAAGCAAAGGGATTAGGGAGAAGCTGACCACCCACTGGTGGCACTTTTACCAAGTGGAAGTTTCAGAGCACTCATGTTGGATATCATGAAGAAGTTTTTAAAAACTGTACATGGAATTCTTACCAACTTGCTTGTATTATTTTAATCTTTCAGAACAACCAGCTTGCTTGTATTGTTTTAATCTTTCAGGTCAAATAATAATGTAAGCATTTTATATAGAATACAGTAATACGTTATTTAGAATCATATTTACTGGTAGAGAAGAGTTGATGATATTGTTATTTGCAGTGTGGTACAGTGGGCTAAAATAGATTATCCAGTTTAGTTAGCAGATATTTATTTAGTTTCTTTTTGGTTAAGGAACAATGGTGCATACTCTGGCATGGAATGACACATGCAACATACTATGTGGACTGCAGGATACACGTTTCACAGTCTGGTACTATCCCAATGCAGTGTATGTAGACAAAGATCTCTTGCCAAAAACTCTTTATGAAAAGGATGCAAGGTATTTCTTCTTCATTTTATACTCTATTTAATAGCTTTCACTAATAAAACTTTTTATTTTTTATTTATTTTGCCACTATTTTCTAATCTAACTTTTGAGACTGAGACTCTACTGCACAGGTAAGCAACAATTTCCAATCTGGGGACTTCAAATCGTGTTGTAGATGAGCCAGCAGTTCTCGAAAGGTCTTCAGGTGCTATGGTCAAAAAATTTAGTCTGATTGTACTGTTTCTGGAGGAAACTGTTTTAAGTGAGGATAGAAATGGGTACATTTTGCCTAACAGAGTTTAAACATTTCCAGCCTTATTCTGGCACTTAAGCTTTGCTTCTGGGGTTTTGACAAGGTATGCAGTAGAAACTAATGCATTTTGTCTTGCAGAGATTTGGCACCTACTTCAACACTTATTTTAGCATTTTCACATATACACACAAAATCACACGACCAAAATCAGCCATTTTGTTTTGAAAGTGGTAAATGGAGTGGGGGTGGGCGCAGGAACTCTAATATGAACCATTGGTTATACATACTTAATAGAGAAATACTTAACTTGTGTTACTAAATATGACACTTCAGGATTCAAACGTCCAGGTCCTTTTGGACTGAATGATTAAAAAAAATCAGTATATAAAACTAGGCTGTCTGCTGCTTGTTAATATGTAAATTAGCAGCCTTATTTCCACAATGATCAATGCATATTCAGAAAGAGAGTGTAGTTGTTATTTTCAATGGCGTATTTGGCTATTTGTTTCATCATTATTCTATTTAAGTTATATTAATTCTAAAATAATGTTTCTGAAACCTATTCTTTTTCTTCAATAGTGAATTTAGTAAAAATCCCCAGATCTTAAGTTTTGTTGGAAGTCAGGTAACAATCAGGAGAGCGGATGGCTCACTTATTCACATTAGTGTTTCACCATATCCAGCTATTCTTCATGAATATATAAATAATTTGAAATGGGAAGATGCCATCAGATTGTGTCGCTTTGTTAAGGTAAATATGAAGTTAACTTTTAGAAAAAGCTTAATTTGGCGGGGGTGTGTGTGTGGAAGCATGTTACTTAAGTTTTTAAATACAAATTAGTGCAATCCCTCCAGATCCTTTTCAAGGTAATTTTGCCTGCCTTGTGTGGCACTGAAAAGGACCTGCTGTTTAGAAAAACTATACAGATATCCTCTGCTTTCCTCTGCTTCAGACTATTAACAGTATTCACTCCAAATATATTTCAAAGCATGTTTCTCTGTTCTTTACTACTAAAATGGAGACATTTTCTTATGCTTTAATGTTTCGCTGCTTCCTGCTTACACTTACCACCAGAGTGCTATCATACGTGCATTTCTGAGCAGTTTAAGTGTAGGTTTGGCTATTATCATAACACTGTTTACATTCTGATTTCTGTACTTAAGAACAGTCATTTAAGGATAGAAGAGAAAAAGGAACGTACAATAGCCTCTTGGCTGCTTATCATAACTTCCTTCTTTCTTCAAGAATAGCTTTCTTATCACAGTGCATTGCCTCTCCTAGCAACACATAGTTTTCTAGCAGGTGCTAAATGAACAAAAAGCAGAGAGCAAGCTGAGCAGGTTGCTGGCTCCTCTGTGGCTACTTATACAGCAGGAATATTTGTTTCGTGATTCTTTTTTTTTTAAATCTTCCTTTTCATTTCTTTCTCTTCATTTCCTTTCTAGTATAGGTAACTGTCAGATAAGATTGTTCTGATAATCTGTATTTTAAAGCAAAGGTGGAAGGGGGCTCTTCTCTGCCAATACTACATTCCATCAGGTCATGAATAATGCCATGCAAAGCTCTCACAAGAATGTATCCCTTTTGAAATGATTAAAGCAGCTAAATCATTTGCATGTGCAGTAAAGACCGCTGGGAGCAGTTTTCTTCTCTCTTTCTCTTTCCTTGCCTCTCTTACTCTTCTCTCCCCACATCCTCTTAGAAGGCTGCAAGGAGAAGGACAAGTTGAGCGAGAGCCGTATTATTTTAAAGAATGTGACACTGTTATATATTTACATTTCCTCTATTTACTGAAAATAGATAAACCATAGGTATCTGCCACAAGTGTCCAGCTGCTCTGGAATTGTGCTAATTAAATAAATAGAAATATTCTGCATCTGAGTTAATTTTGATTCACTTATTGATTATTAAATCATGTGTTTGCCATAATGAGAGCAAATAAATATAAATGTTGATTATTGCATTGTATTGTAGATATATGTTGTATGTTAAGCAGTATTAAAAAAGAGAAGAGAGGGGAAACAGTTCTTTGTTTAAAATTATATCAGTCTCTACTCATTATTTGGAATTTAGATGAAGTTTAAAACAAAGTTCTTATCAAGAAGTTATATAGAAAACTATAACATGTAGCATTCTAAATTTCAGTTTTCCTTAGTTTAAATTTGTCACTCACTGATTTTACATTAAAATGTATAGGTGAAGCATAAAATCCAAATTGGCAAGCTTTTTTTGAGTTTTTATTAAGGCAAAGTACTGAGGATTGAAGCACAGTCATAGTTTTGTAAACCATGGCTGTGGCTTAATATGATGTTTGATCCTGATCAGTTGTGACACATTGAACAAATGATATTTAAAAAAAGGATTACTTATTAGAGGTCAAAACTAATTAGTACCTAAGTATACTAACTTAATCCAGTAGATTGAACCCAGAGAAATTTGGTGGGACAGGATAGGTAGAAGGTGATCCCTACAGTTGCATTAATTAATTAATTAATTAAATTTAGCTCCACCCATCTCCCCTAGTGGAGGACTCTGGGCGGCTCAGAACTCATTAAAACGATAAATAGATAATACAATTACATAAAACTTAAAATCTGTACAAAGCAATTACTAAAAAAGAAAGAGTCCAAGAGGCCGATGGTTCAGAGCAGCAGACGCCAGGCCTCTAAGGGGCTAGCCATCCCCACACTTGATGTCTACCCTCCCCACCCCAGGCCAGATGGCAGAGCCAGGTCTTCAAATCTCTCCGGAAGGCCAGGAGTGAGGGGGCTAATCTCACCTCCGGGGGCAAGATATTCCAAAGGGCAGGGGCTACAGCAGAGAAGGCCTGCCTTCTGGACCCCACGAGGCGGAGCTCTTTTACCGAGGGTGTCCAAAGCATGCCCTCTCTGACTGATCAGGTGGGACGGGTTGAGGTCATGGGGAAGAGGCGGTCCCTCAGGTAACCCAATCCCATGCTGTGTAGGGCTTTAAAGGTGATAACCAATACCTTGAATTGGACCCGGAAGCAAACTGGTACCCAATGCAGCTCGCGGAGCAACAGTGTTATGTGGGTCCTTCTTGGGGCTCCAAAAATAGCCTGCGCAGCTGCATTCTGGACCAGCTGTAGCTTCCAGATACTCTTCAAGGGTAGCCCCATGCAGAGCGCATTGCAGTAGTCTATCTGGGAGATAA